GAACCAGATCTGCAGCTGAAACGACGTCGGATTTGGTTCAAAACGGTCAAGTCTTGGAAACTCCGAGGACTTGCTATGAACTCCATCATAGTCAATCAGAAACTGCATGAAACAGAAACTGTTAAGCTGAATTCTAGCAGATCTAACAAATTTAAACGAAAGCATAAACAGTATAGTCTTCTTCGAAATCTAGATAAGTTAAACGAATAGAAAACATAGACGAACCTCTAAATCTGAGCCAAAGCACGAAGAAGACGAGCTCAAGCTCGTAAAACCAGCTACGAACCAGCAGCTCAAAACATCTTCACAGCCTCAAATCACCATGAAAACGTAGATCTTGAAAAGACCTACGCGAATTCGAGACATAAAGGAAGAGAAAAGAATCCTTGCAGAACAGATCTGCAAGAGAGGAACCACGGAGGCGCATAGAGATGCGAAGAGAGAGAGAACATTGAGTCGTTGAATGGTTAGGAACCAACCCAACCTAACGTACTTTTATAATAGGATAAATGCGATGGACGGCTGCCATTGCGCCCTTATCTTTAAGATCGACGGCTGGTATGTTATAACGTGGTTGGGTGGTTAGGCGGTGGTATAATTTTCCACGTTACTGTTTTTGACCTTATCAACCTCGACACGTTTATTTTGCCGCCTTGACAGCTGGGTCCACTATAATTAGGTTTCTCTCGCGCCTTTCATTCTAGATATTTCGGAATTTGGAAAAGCCCAAGCTCGAAATTACAGTCCTTGAATAGTTTTAACCGGGCCGGACCTAAGAAAAAAGATAAGAGACTACGGCCCGAAAAAATGAGAATTGGGCTGGGGTTTTTGGCCCAAACCTATTATTCCTTCAACAAATCTTGGTCAAATTGCACGCATTAACATCAAATTTCATAGGTCACAACCTTTAGATTTAGATACATAAAGAGAATAACAAAATCATACTAGGTTTCTTTAATGTAAAACTTTTTTTTTTATACAAGCGATATTGAAATCGAACACAAATAAATATCGACATAGTCCTCAAGATTCCTTCAATGGAAAGGTATTTCACTAATCATGTATTAGTCAGGGAGAAGATGACCTGACATTTATCGTTAATAATAATTAGATTAATGGTGCCTACTGTTGCTTGCTTAGCTCACTTTTGGCTGTCTTGGTTGTCTCTCAGCTTCGGCAGCCTGCCTTGGTCCTTGTTTTGCTTTGCCGCCAGTTGTTCCCTGTTGCTGCCGGCCCTGGGCTCTTTTTGTTTGCCTGACAGCTATATGAGGTTAAAGAGTAAAGAAAACATAAAACCGAAACACATGAATTTTAAATGGTATTGTTATTTTAGATCTGGGTGGATTCGAACCACCATCCTCCCAAAGCCCAATTATGGACCCGAGCGCTCTACCATTTTTGAGCTTACAGACCTTGATCTCAAATTCCACTCATCGACGCTAAAACGGGTTAAATCATATCTCCAACCATGGAACTCACCTTTCCAACATAGCTTACGTTTAACGACGACGGTCACAGGTCATCACCAAGGAGACTAGATTATGTGGAAATTAGGTTTACATCATACACGGGTTTCTTACTGATTTAACATGTTTTCCAATCCGAAGCAGCTCTGTTTTCATTCTCTCTTATATTCAACACTTACCAAAATTTTTAAGAAACCAAGATCAGAAAATACCGAGCAATTCACGAGAACCGCAGTGAGTGACACTTGGAAGAATAAAATTTCAGGTTCAAATAGGGAAACCACAAATGAACATCGACTAATTAACATGGAACAGTCTTTTCTTGATTTGCAATATAAGAATACAGTTTTTTTCATATCAAACAACATTTCAGAGTCAATAAGATCGATACCACACAACTACAGAAGATCCCACATAACCTACACAATTAATTTCATGCAGTTTCAAAAATAATGTTTAAATCAAGAACAGTTCCTCCATTTTCAAACCAAAACATCTGTCATCAAATCCCATCCCCCACCTTCTAGTCTACCCTAA